CTGGGTGGGAGACCCCATCCCCGCCTGCTGGCCTGCCGCTGCAGGGGCAGAGCCCGGGGTGGCCTGCAGGAGGGACAAGGCACTCAGTGACTGCACACAGGAAGAGCAGGCCCGAGTCCTCCCCGAATCTCCCGTCCAGTGGAAGCAGGAAGGGGCCTGGGGAGGGCCCAGGCCCCTGCCAGAGACAAGGAGCAAGGACTGGTGCATCCTCTAGCGCAGTGATGTGACCGCGGTGGTGACAGAGGCCATACCAGGTGCCGGGGGAGCACAGAGGCGGCAGGGTGCCGAATCGCAAAGCCCTCTTCTGGGGGGTCCTGGGCTTTGAGCCGGGGACTCCCGGCGAGGGAAGCTTCGGAACGGCGCAGGCTCACAGGAAGTACCACCTGGCCTCCTTATGTTCTGGGGCCCAGCACAGTGCTGTGCACAGAAGGCTATGTGCAGGGGTGGTCTCAGGGGCTTCCCTTCTCTTCCTCAACCCCATCCCAGACTCCTTGATTGGATCAGGAAGTCCCACCACCAAGGCCTCCTTCCTGGGGCCTGAGGCACTGTGTCCGGGAAGCTGTGGCTTCCTTCAGAGAGGAGTCACTGTTCCTTGTCATTGTCTTAAAGGAGCTGTGATAAAATGTAGGCTGGGCCTGGCTCCGCCTACTGTCCTGAGACTCCCTGTACCTCGTGCACCTGTCTTCTCTTGCAGCCTCCAGGAGCAGCGTCCTTGCCCTGGCTTGATGCCACTCAGGGCTCGCAGCCTCCGCTGGCTGGGTTAACCCTTAGCACTGCCCTTGGAGGGTGGAGGCAGGATCTGCCCCCGTCTCACAGCTGAGCAGGCCTGGAGCAGCTGGCAGGCGAGCTCAGGGATACTCTCGGGACGCTGTAGCTTGCAGACTGGAAGCCATAGCTACAGGCAGGGGGAGGGAGATGAACCCAGAGGGGACCCATGCTGCCTGCTCTTGGGAATCGTTTTGTAGATTTCCAGAAATACTTCTGGGGAAAAAAAAAAGAGAGAGAGACTCCATTGGCAAAGATGGTTTGAAAATCACTGCAGAACTTTGTGCCCTGTCTCCTGCCCTTGTTTTTTGTTTGTTTGGATTTTTTTTTTTAAGATTTATTTGTTTATTTAAAAGTTAAAGAGTGACAGCGAAGAAAAGAGAGAGGGAAAGTTTCCATCTGCTCGTTTAATCCCCAAATGGCTGCAAACAGCCAAGGCTGAGCCAGGATGACGCGAGGAGCCGGGGGCTCTAGTGGGTCTCCCACAGGGGGACAGGGGACTCAGACCATCTTCCACTGCCTCCAAGGGTTCATATGAGGAAGTGGAGTCAGAAGCAGAGCAGGGGCCTGTGCTGCGGCTTGGTGGGCTAAGCACTGGCCTTCCGCACAGGCCATGGTTTGTATCCCGGCCACTCCTCTCTGATCCAGCTCTCTGCTGTGGCCTGGAAAAGCAGCAGAAGGTGGCCCCAGTCCTTGGGCCCCTGCACCCACATGGGAGACCTGGAAGAAGCTCCTGGCTCTGGATTGGCCCAGCTCTGGCTGTTGCAGCCATTAGGGGAGTGAACCAGCGGATAGAAGACCTCTCTCTCTCTCTCCCTCTTTCTCTCTCTGCCTGTAACTCTACCTCTCAAGTAAATAAATAAATCTTTAAAAAAAAAAAAAAAAAGGTGGAGCCCTCTGAAATGGGCTGCCCACCTCACAGGCAGCAGCTTAGTCCCCTGCACCACAACGCTGACCTGTGTCTCAGCTCTTGAGCTTGAGAGGAAGGGCGCGGGTCCGTGCGACTGCCTCGGGAGCCCGGGCCTAGACAGCCGCACAGGTTTCCTCCCTCAGCCTCCAGGGCCCTGGAAACGAGTCCGGAGGCGGATCTCTCCCAGCTTTGCGGCCCCGACGTGAGTCCATGGGCCACTTCCACTTCCTCACCCCGAGAAGGGCGCCTGAGGACACGGTGATAGATGAGCCACTCGGCATCGCGTTTGGTCTCCCAGAGGCCCCTCCTGGAGCAAGCCTTATGTGTCCTGTGCCATGCTGGTAATTAAGGCTCCTCCCCACCTCGACTCCCGTGACAAGAATTCTGGGAGCCTGCGTCCCGGCTCCCCCAAAGCAGCCTTTCTGTCACAGTGACCTGGGCGTGTGCCCTAAGGTAGCTGCAGGCCTGGAGAGCTCGTGAATGCACACAGCCGCTCATCCCCAGTGTGGCAGCAGGTGTCAGGGACAGGGACGTTCTGTACAGCCCTCCGAGTGGCCACCGCGCTCAGGTAACCCAAAACCGCAGCAGGTCCCTGTTGGACTCTCTGGCGAGAGCTTCGGGAGAATTATGTTACTGAAGGCAACAGGCATTCCTGACTGTGTCGTTTTGAGGGTTGTTTATCTCCCAGGAGGGACAAGGCCTGGCCCGGCCCATAATGAGGGCCAGAGAAACGCCCTTTGATGGTCCTGCGGTTCCCTTGGGGGGCGCAGGTGCTCAGCAAGGACCTCTGGAGTCGAGTCTCGTGAGAGGCATCGCCCCCGTAGGACCCAGGAAATTGTGTGGGGTGGCCCGAGTTTCTGTGTCTGCAAGGGTGGCTTGGGTCCCTCGGTGTCCCTGGGCCGGTTTGTCATTTCCCTGTGCTCCTGTTAGGAGGGCCCTGGCGGGCAGGAGGACAGACAAGGTGCAGGCTGGGCCTGTGCCAGGCTCTGGCCTGGCCTGGGGAGCCAGTCTTTGCTATGAATAGGATCGTCAGGGAAGAGGAGGTGGCTGTGGAGGGGACCATCCCAGGCGAGTGAGGTCAGGAGGTCAGCAGAGGGAACGCACCTGCCCTCACGCAGCCCCCGGCTCAGTGCTGGAGAGGAGCACTGGCTGTCCGGGAGCACGCCCAGGACCCCTCAGCCAGAGAGCTGCAGGGCTGGGGAGGGGTCAGGTCAGAGAAGGCAGAAAGGCCTTGAAGAGGGCTGGGGGTCAGGGAGGCAGGCAGAAGCCACAGAACGGACAAAATCCAGAGCCGAAACACCTGCCGTGTGTGGGGGCAGCACTCAGTGCCGACAGGCCCTGGTGGTGCGGGGAAGCAGCTGAAAGGTCACAGGTCAGGGAGGGCAAGGGAGCCTGTCGCCACGGGTGCCCAGTGCCAGGCAGAGGGATCTGGTGTACTTGGGCAGAGGAGATGTGCGCTCCATAGAGGCCTCAGGCAGAGGCTCCAGGCCAGGCTGCCTGTGTGCTGCTCTGGCTCTGCCTCTAGGTTGTCATTTTGCTCTACCCTGGGACGGTGGGTGAGTCAGCCTCTCTGGGCCTCAGTTTCTTCATCTGTACAATGGGGATAAAGCAGTATTTCGATTGGATCACTGTGCAGACTAAACAGGAAATGAGAAGACTTCCTGGTTCCAGGTGCACTTTTTTTTAAAGGTTTATTTACTTATTTATTTACTTGAAAGGCAGAGTTACAGAGAGAAAGGGAGAGAGCTTCTGTCCACTGGTTCACTCCCCAGGTGGGGACAACAGCTGGGGCTGGGACTGAGGCAGGCCAAAGCCAGAGGCCAAGAGCTTCATCTAGGTCTCCCCTGTGGGTGCAGTGGCCCAAGTACTTGGGCCATATTGTACAGCTTTCCCAGGCACATTAGCAGGGAGCTGGATCGGAAGTAGAGCAACCGGGACTCGAACCCGTGCCCATGTGGGATGCCAGCGCTGCAGGCAGCGGCCTTTCTACGCCACAGCGCCGGCCCCTGTCAGGTGCATGTTACTCAGTGTCAGCTGTTGTCATTACTGCTGTTATTCACCCATTCAGCAACCACATACTGCGTCCCAACTCCACGCCAGACTCTGTTCTCAGCACAGTAGTCTGGGGCATGGGACACACAGGTGGGAGGACCAGGAAGGAAACAGAATGGCTCGTGCTGGGGGAGGGGAGGGGCAGTGGTGTCAGGAGATGGCCACACAAGGCCTCCTGGGAACAAAGACTGGAAGGCTTCCTGGAAGGGGTGTGAACAGGCACCAGGCCTCTGCCCCAGGGCTGGCTGGCCAGAAGCTGAGAGTTCACAAAGCGGACTCCAGGAGGCAACTAGGTGAGGCCTGTGAGAGAGCTGGTGAGACGTTCCCATTCTGCATTGTCATGTTCTGACATTGCTGCTTCTGAGTGTTCTGGTTTGTGCTGTCATGCACGCTTTCCGTATGCGTATGTACAGAACTCGGAGAGACCGGCACGGGAGTCTTTCACTGCCAGAGTGAGGCGGGGGGCCCAGGCGACAGTGATGAGATGGGCTCAGTGACCCCAACAGGGCAGCCTGTGAGTAAGGGCAGAGCAATGGAGCTGACCGCTGTGGCTGCAGAGGGGAGAGAGGACTCAGACGCGAAATGCTCCCAGCCTGGGGCCCCTGGAGTGCGTGAGGGGTTCCTGGGGGAGGCCAGGGCTGCAGGGCCGCTGGGGCGCCCCGCAGAGAGCCTGAGCCTGGCAGGAAGGTCACGGCCCTGCTCGTTTGGAAAATGGCGTCCTGGTGTTGCAGAGGGTTCTGCTGGTGTGGCGCAGTTGAGAGTCTCCAGGGTGCTGTCACTTGCCCTGGCAGGGCCTGTGTCAGATGGAGCAGCCGTTTCACTTCCTCCTGTAAATGCGTGAGCTGCGGCCTTGCCGTGCTGCCTGGCGTCAGGAGAGCAGGCCCGGGGGCAGAGCCGTAGCCCTGCAGGGCCCTGCATCTCTGGTGGGCTTGTCCCTGTGCTCACCCGGCCCTTCCTCTGTGGTTGTTGGAGCCGAGGGCAGGGCTGGGCCGGCCTGTGTCCAGACACAGAGGCGCCCCGGGTGGGCCCTGGGGGTGGGAGTACCACTGTGCCCTCTGCTCGGGGATGACCTGTGCCACAGCAGGTGGAACCCTCGACAGCAGCAGGCATGAGGGAAATGTCAGCCTGCGCTGTTCCCGCAACAGGTTGCATCAGCCAGCTCTGGGCCCTGCCCGATACTCACAGGGGCAGGCAAATGTCCCCAGCCAGGCTCATGGCGCCTCAGAAGGGCAGTGAACCAAGAAGGCCTCTTCTCTCTGCTCTCCCCCAACAGCGGAAGTCTACATCGGCATTGGGAAGCCCGCGGAAGCCACCGCCTGCACCCAGGAAGCTGCCAACCTCTTCCCGATGTCCCACAACGTGCTGTACATGCGGGGCCAGGTCGCTGAGCTCCGCGGCCACCTGGAGGAAGCCCAGCGCTGGTATGAGGAAGCCTTGTCCATCAGCCCCACCCACGTGAAGAGCATGCAGCGACTGGTGAGTGTGAGGGCCGGGCAGGGACCCCACTCTTCTGTGGGGGCTCCCCCTGGAAGCAGCAGGAGGCTCGTGACCCTCAAACCCTCTGCTTCCAAAGGCCGCTGCACCTGACTGGCCAAGCTGTCACAGGGCACGCAGCCAGCACGCCATTCGGCTTGCTGTCGGTGCACGTAACACCCCAGGAGTCGGCAGCAGCTGACCTAGCGTCCCACGGGAGAGCTTTGGGTCAGTGGGCTCTGGCCCAAGCCACCCTGTGGCCCAGGGTCTGATAAAGGCCCTCTGTGGCCTAGGGACTGTCACTGTCATCTTGGGCTCTGCACGGCTCACAGCAGCCACCTCAGGGGTGTGCACACCCCCAGGGATGTCAGTACCAAGGTCAGAGCACTCTGTAAATGGGGGGCCTGGGTAGCTTGGCCTGGGCCCCTGATCAGTCACTGCGGTTTCCGTACTGCTATCCCTGTGGCCCCAGAAATGCACATGGCCCTCTTCTGGATGCCCGGACAGAACCTGGGGTTGTCCCGCCGCCCCCTCACTGAGGACCACCTTTGAGAGGTCCTGGAGTGGCCGCCCCGCTGTCTCAGTGAGCCGGGAGCAGCCTGGTCTCAGGAGAGCTGCGTCTGTCTCCGGAGCGCAGCGCCGCACAAGCCCCGGGCCCCCTGTCTTCCCTCAGAGTCTGAGTTGGTGCCCACAACATCAGCCAGGTCCGAGGGCTGGAGAGGAGCCGCCCTGCCCACTCTGGGCCTGCACGCTCCGCCTCGGGGCTGAATTCCTGTTTTATTCTTAGCGGTAGGACGTCTCTGGTGTGGAAAGGAAAGCTTCATAATGGAATTGGGGTGCCCTCCACGTTGCCGGCCCGGGAGCCCTGCACCCGTGATCTCCAGAGCGCGAGCACTGCAAAGGGGCCCAGGGGCGGCGCGCGGTCCCTGTGCGGTCGGCCGCTTGCTCTTCAGCCTCAGGCGGGGCGAGTGCGTGTCCATGGTTTCCTACTGAGCAGTGAAATACTGCAAGCCGGGGCAGAGGCTAAGCCGCAGGACCGCTCCTGGGGGCCGGGCAGGCGGCTCTAAGTTAGACCTGCGCTCCCCTGGCCTTGGGCCCCAGCCTCCCTCCAGGAGCCTTGGGTCCCTGTGAGCTGGGCCAGTTCTTCCCCTGCTGTGCTGTTGCGGGAAATGCTTTCCCTAGCGGGGAGCTGAGCGGAGTTCCTGGCACCCACTGGGTGCTTATCAAATACAAAGCCAAGGCAGTCCTTTTCAGTTGTAAAGATAAATTAGACCCTATAGTACTCACAGCTACCCCCCCATTTCCTTTTATGAGCATTCTGTAGCCCCGTACGGCTTTATAAATAATTTTACGTATTACCCAAACATTAGTGTGTTTGATTAAAAATATTACCTGGGCTTTTAATTTTTGTCTCCCTATTGTAAGAGGAATTTGTAAAGAGCTTTTCGGATCTCCGGGCTTTGTCTGGAGCTTGGGGAAGAGCTATAATCAACGCCAGGAGCCCAGCCTTTGTGTTAAATAGAGGCAGCAGGTTTCCACCCCGGGGCCTATGAATCATTCAGAGAAGTGGTTCTTGTTCATCCGCAGGGGGAACACAGGAGACAAAACACCGCAGAGGAAAATGGCACCGCGAGAGTTTTCTGTTTCACCTTGGAGCTTTTCAGGACACCTGAGCTCCCTGACAAATGCCAGGCACTTTCCTTTCTGAGAGGGGCAAGCAGGGCCTGGCGAGCGCGGGCCCAGGCTGGTGGCAGGGCCATGCCTGCTGGCACCTGGGCAAGCCGCGGCCTGAGCCCCTCCAGGCCCAGACACATAGGCCTTGGGAGACCTTGCTGGTGGGAAAGCGGAGTAGTGGTAGACTTTGAGACCCTGCCCCTGCGCTCTGATATGGTGAAACCCCTTCCTGACCGGAGGCAGGCTGAGAGCAGTGTGCCTGCCCAGCTCAGATTCCTGCCGTCAGACATACGCCCAGTGACTGCGGCCGGGGTGACGGCCAAGGGGGCCTGGAGCAGTGTTTCTTGGGAAGCTTATGAATGATGCATTATGACCTGTGTCCTCCCCAGCCTGCCCCCTGGGACCCAGCCCATAGCTGGGGGAGCCCTGCTGCAGTGCAGGGGAGGGGGTCCCCATCCTGCTGGCACCACTCGGCCTGCCGGGCCCAGGAAGGGGCAGCCCCTGGTCTCCCCTGGTTCTTTGGCCCTGAGCTGGCACGACCCCTCCCTTGCCTATGTGTGTTTTTGTGACCCTGGGGGGTCACAACAAAGGGGGTGGGAGGAAGGGAGGCAGGGAAGACACCCTGAGGCAGAATCCCCCTCTGAGCCTCGGTCCTGTGGACAGGCGGGTGTTAGCACCGAGATGTCCCAGAGACAAAGTAAACACGAGAGCTGAAGTCTCTTGCCAGTGACACCAGGACTTGTCTATCCTCCCGGAAACCAGACTGCATGCAGGCCCCCAAGTGGACAGGAAGGAAGGGACGGGGGTGAGGGGGAGCTCTCCACAGGGAGATGAGGTCAAGTCCAGGCCAGAGGCAGGGCACCAGGCCCCGAGGTGGCAGAGGGAGACAGGGGCAGCCACGTGCATCAGGGAAGCGTATGTGAGTGAGCAAGGGGGTGGCCTGTGCAAGCCAGGCTGAGCGAGGGCCGGGTATCAAGACTGGAAAGATTCTGAAAACGTGGCACCAGACACCAACAAAGAACCAACCAAGGAGGCCTCATGGGAAGGAACCAAGTGTGAGGCAGAATTTGGGCCCTGGAAGAAAACCCCAGGAGGCAGGCGCTTCTGCAGTGGTCTTAACTCTCAGAGAGGAAGGCGAGCCCGAGGGTCAGTGCTGGGCAGGGCCGGGGCAGGCCGGGGGTGGCAGTGAAGACGGGAGGGAAGGAGCTGTCCGGCACAGCAGTCACAGCGGGGGACTTCAGAGAATTGCAGAGGAAGGTCCACGCTGGGCCTGCTCCACGGAGAACACTTGTGAACTTCTCAGCTTGTAAGTGCAGGACATGCCCCAGTCACATGGTCACAAAGCCGTGGTGACGGAGGGTGGGGTCCAGGGACATATGGTAGTCATGAAAGCAAATCAAAGGTCAGCCCTTGGCCAGAGAAACATAAATTAAACCCCAGGGAAACTGACACTTGTCTAATAGCTTTAGCATATTATGTGTGTGTGTGTGTGTGTGTGTGTGTGTGTGTGTGTGTGTGTGTGTGTGAACAGTCCCACACAGTGAGAAGGGAGAAGAGAAATCGTATGTTTAGTGACAATGGTGAGTCAGGACAAGTCCAGGGGAGCCCCAGGGTGCCAAGTGTGGGCAGCTGTGAGGGGGGCAGTGCGCTGATGAGGGGGCAAGTTACAAAGTCACGTTGTTGGCAAGGGGAGGAGTCTTTTCCAAGAAAATAAAGCCTATTTTCATTTTATTTTTGCCTAAGTATATATATTTACATTTAACTACCTGCTCTGTTAAAAAGCCTTTAGCACCCAGTGCCCAAAGTGAATTACTGAAATCCAAGCAATTTTTTTTTCCAAATCAGTTCCTGCATTCCGAAGTTGGGGGATGGGGTGTGGCAGTCCAAGGCAGGCTGGGGGCCCAAGGACCTGCATGCTGGGTGCCCCTTCCCAGGCCAAGGGCAGGTGCAGAGGCTCCATGTAGCCGAGGACAAAGTCGCCAGGGCGGAGACAGACTGGTTGCCCTCCGATAAAGTCAGTCTGAACTCTGGAGGGCAATGCTGAGACTGGAAGGTGGGAAAGGAACCAGGGCTTTCGGCAGCGAGAAGGTGGCCGGGAGCCAGGAGAGCTGCAGGGCAGGCCGTGCACTAGCAGGACACTCGGATCTGCCTGCCACACATCTGACAGGTTGCGAAGAGTGCAGAACAGAAGCAGATGGCCAAGGTCAGCCACGGTTTGGAGAGGGGACGGCACAGGAAGAGAGGATAGGAGCCCCCAGGCGGCCTTGAGGATGCCTGGAAGCTGGAAAGGCCCTGTGCAGAGAACCACGGCAGGGGCAGCAGGGGCGCCTGTGAGACAGGTGCCCCACCCCACAGCCAGAGGAGGAGGGGGATGCGTCCCCTGCGGGGCGGAGGACCCCACCCTGCCCCTGCCAAGCCTGGGGACTAAACCATGGAATTTCAGAACCAGTGTCAGTCCGTCGATGAGAAAAATCTGGATTCGAAGTGCAGAGAGGCCACCTCCCAGGCGCTGATGTTCCCAAGATGAGGCTGGGGCCCGTGAAGGGGGCAGCGGGAAGTCCAGGGCTGCTGAGCTTCAAGCCGCCTCCAGAGGAAGCGGGGTTCCAGAGCGTTCGGGGAGTGTGGGGTGGGGCCCCGCCCTGGCTCCCAGGAGTGTGGCTGGAGGAATGGCCTCCATGTCAAGGGGTCCTGGGGATGGGATGCAGCCTGGGGGAGGGTGTGTAGGAAGATACATCCTTGTGCCTGGGAGCGTGTTTTGCCGATAGAACACGTTTGTCAAGTCTCCATCAGGGGTGTCTAAGAACCGATGCAGCTTTCTGTGCAGGGCGTGGGGGCCCTAAAAGAGCTTGCACGTGTTCTGTGGATAGACGGGAAGCCAGCAGACCTCTCACAAGCAGGAGGGCTTCAGGCTGGGGGTTCACGTGCAGACTGCCTTCCAGGGCTTTCTCCAGGATCTGAGGTTTTTGGAAACATCAGAAACCCAGAGCGACACCAAATATAAAACCTTGAGAAGTGGCACTGCCATTCTGTCCCAGGGGACTGCAGCAGCAGAGGACGGCAGAGGTGGGCTGAGCTGAGAAAGCACTGGTGGAGGGGGCTTCGGCAGCACCAGGGCGTGGGGTGCAGTGGGGTGCATGTGACAGCTTAGTTGCTGTAACAGCTCTGCAGGCTGACCCGACAAATCAAGGCCTGCCGTGGGAGCGGCCTTTACCCTGCCTCCCGGCTGGCGCGGCTGTTCACCGTGTGAACACGCATGCAGGGTGGCAGCCAGGGCTTTCCCAGGGTCAAGGAGGAGCACTTCCGCTCCACTCCGGCAGCTCACGTGGCCC